TCGGGATAAGTGTCTTTGTGCGTCTCGAAGTAGGATTCGTTCAGGGCTAAGTTCCGATCGGGATAAGTTGTCTTTGTACGTCTCGAAGTAGGATTCGTTCAGGTCTAACTTCCGATCGGGATAAGTTGTCTTTGTACGTCTCGAAGAAGGATTAGTTCAGGGCTAACTTCCGATCGGGATAAGTTGTCTTTGTACGTCTCGAAGAAGGATTAGTTCAGGGCTAACTTCCGATCGGGATAAGTTGTCTTTGTACGTCTCGAAGAAGGATTAGTTCAGGGCTAACTTCCGATCGGGATAAGTTGTCTTTGTACGTCTCGAAGAAAGATTAGTTCAGGGCTAACTTCCGATCGGGATAAGTTGTCTTTGTACGTCTCGAAGAAGGATTAGTTCAGGGCTAACTTCCGATCGGGATAAGTTGTCTTTGTACGTCTCGAAGAAGGATTAGTTCAGGGCTAACCTCCGATCGGGATAAGTTGTCTTTGTACGTCTCGAAGTAGGATTAGTTCAGGGCTAACTTCCGATCGGGATAAGTTGTCTTTGTACGTCTCGAAGTAGGATTAGTTCAGGGCTAACTTCCGATCGGGATAAGTTGTCTTTGTGCGTCTCGAAGTAGGATTAGTTCAGGGCTAACTTCATTTTTAACTTCTATTCCGATAGGGATAAATATCTTTTTAATAACAGAAAGCAAAAATTTGCCTTGGACAACTTATGTTCGATCCCTGGCTTTTATAGTCTTTGTGAGAGGAAAGTATGATCCCGATCAGATCAACAATATCTTGACTGGATTATATTAATCGAAATACACGTATATCCTGACCGAGATTGATATCTCGTTCGACGGTTTGTCCTGACTGAATACGAGTTATCTGTAGAGGTTTTTTTTTTTCAACATTTTCTCTGTGAAGAATTTTTTTTAAATCCACTATACTACTAGTACGTATCTTGAATCTTGACTAGAATTTGTCTATACGTTTGTTTTGTAGTTTAGTGTGGCAGGAGATAAAATCGGACAGAAAAACACACAAGACTTCAAATGTGGGACAGAAAACTTCCAGAGACACAATGTCGTTATTCCCGCTACAGTGAACATTGTGTGTTGTTATTTTTCTAATAAACGAATAAATTAATTTAATTTAATTTAATTGAATTGAATTGAATTTAAGTATATTATATTACAATTTAACCAAATATTATATGTTGTTTATTTAAATTAGCTAAGAGTGGTAAACACAGCACGGAACAATATGGGTTTTTGTGGAGCAAATCAGCCCGGCAAAATTGGCCCCGTGGTTTAGAAAAGACTGTTCAGGAGTCGTTGAAAGTTCAAGTTGGGTCTCAGTTTTGTTCTGGAAAGCGCATCCGCACGGGGGGGGGGGCTACTTGCATAGAAGTGCAATACGGGTATGTGCCGCCCGACTGGGGTGTCATTTCACGTTATTTTGTTTAGAAGTGGGTGGTCATTTATCAATGTTTTGGTTTAGAACTTGAAGTGTGTAGCATTTTTTTACTTTTTCACAGGTCCTTATATTCAAAGCCAGATACTGGAAAAGGCTGATAAAATGCATCGCCACCAGGATGCGCTCA